AGGGGGACAGTGGGCGTCAGCCCCTCTGGCGGGATCCTGGGGGGCTCTGACGGACCCTGGGGCTCCGTTCCGCAGGTGAGGAGGCTTCCGTCAGCCAAGATGACTCTGACAACAGCGTCTCGGAGAGCCTGGACGAGTGCGACTACTCGGTGGCGGAGATCAGCCGCTCCTTCCGCTCGCAGAGGGAGCTGTGCGAGCAGCTCAACATCAACCACATGATCCAGAGGATCTTCCTCATCACCTTGGACAACAGTGAGCACTGGGAGCCCCCTCAGCATGCTGGTGGGGGACGAGGGGTACGGGAAGCTCCCTTGGCTGGGTGGATACATGCAGAAAACAAGGGGAGGGCTGGGGTAGGGAAGGTCCCCCAGCACAGCAGCTGGTGGCACAGGGACAGGGCTCCCCCAGGACATTCTGTGCCCACGTGGGCGAAATGGGTCATTCTGCACCTTCCTCAGGTGATCCCAGCATGAAGAGTGGGAATGGGATCCCAGCACGCTGCGTCTACCTGGAGGAAATGGCCACAGACTTAGAGGACCAGGACTGGCTGGACATGGAGAACGTGGAGCAGGTGGGGCTGCCCAGGGTGTGCCGCTCACTGCAGCAGTGGGGGGGGAATTCCTTTCCTGGCACCACACACCAGGCACTCTGAGCCTGGTGTGGAGCTGCTGGTGGTGGTTTTGCTGGCCACAGCCACGAGGTTTGGGGTTATGAGGCTGAGAAAGGTTAATGTTTTGCTGCTTTTACTCCTGGAGGTTGCTGGAGTTTGCTGCCATGTATATGGGCTGGGGATAGGGAAGAGAACTAATTTAGCTGGAATGGGGTATGAGTCAGTCGTTTGTGGTGGGTTTTTCAGTGAAAACAACTTGTTCTGGGGCTGCTTTTGCCCTTGAAGAAGATTAAGGAAGTTGTTTAGTGAAGGAGTGAGCCAGAGGGTTCACAGTGAGGCTCACACCGAGGTGCTCTGGGATTCACTGAGGAACAGAGAGTGCCCTTTGGGCAGAAATAACTGCACCTGCGCTGATCCAGGGCTGCTTTTCCTGGAGGGTTTGTCCCTGTTTCACTCTGTTGTTCCTGGTGTCCAGGCCCTGTTTGCCCGCCTGCTGCTGCAGGAGCCGGGAAACCACCTGATCCACATGACCTCCTCCAGCACACAGAACCTCTCTGCCGACCGGGACGCTGGGGAGAGGCAGATCCTGCGCTACCTCTATGCCTGCTTCCAGAGGGCAAGGGAAGAGGTGGGCAGGGGCTCCCAGGGAGGAGCTGGCTCTGTCACCCAGCTCTGCCCCAAGGTGACCTGGCTGAGCTCTGAAGCAGCTGCTAGGTTCCCAACTCTGTCCTGTTTTCCTTGTCCAGATAACCAAGGTGCCAGAGAACCTGCTGCCGTTTGCCATGCGCTGCCGGAACCTGACGGTTTCCAACACTCGCACTGTCCTCCTCACCCCGGAGATCTATGTCAACCAAAATGTGTATGAGCAGCTGGTGGACCTGCTCCTGGAGGCACTGAGGGGGGCACGTAAGTGGGGTGGGGTTGGGCTGCCAGCTTGGTGCCACTCTAGTTTGTCTGTTGGGATGTTGTGATGAACAGCCTTGCCCCCCTGTCAGACTTTGAAGACGTGACCGAGTTCCTGGAGGAGGTGATAGAAGCCTTAACAATGGACGAAGAGGTGCGGACCTTCGGGGAGGTCATGGTGCCTGTGTTTGACATCCTCTTGGGCAGAATCAAGGACTTGGACCTTTGCCAGATCCTGCTCTACACGTACCTCGACATGCTGCTCTACTTCACAAAGCAGAAGGCTATTGCCAAGGTGGGTGCCTTGCCCTCCCTCACAGCTCCTCACAGCATCCACATGCAGGGCCATGTTTATAGGACCTGACTGGTCAAGGTCAAACCAGTGGGCCAGTGTAACAACACCCTATGTCTGTACTCTTAGCTTCCTCCTCCTTTTTCTCCCAAACCCAGTTTGTGGGTTTTTTACTGGGTTTTTACATAACCCTTAGCTTGTCCTGCTGTATTCCTTAGGTTTTTGCAGGCTACATCCAGCCCAAAGATCCCAGCGATGGGCAGATGTACCAGAAGACTTTGCTGGGTGCCATTTTAAACATCTCCTGCCTGTTGAAGACTCCTGGTGTTGTGGAGAACCATGGCTATTTCCTGAACCCATCCCGGTCCAGCCCACAAGAGATCAAAGTGCAGGAATCCAACATCCATCAGGTGGGCTGACGTGGCCGTGCTGCTTCCACCCAGGTTTTAGTGGCCTCTCCTTGTCTGGGGGTTAAAGATATGACCTCAGGGCCTGAATTCCACCACCTGCTCTTTAGTAGTCTGGCTTGAGCTACTCTAGGTGTTGTAACGACTGGGAAATAGTTTTCAGTATCTGTCCTGTAATCAAAAGGCTAATTGACTCTCTGACAGAGAAAGTAACAGATAATGTTCTCTCATTATGAAAGTAACAAGGTTCCCTCTGCAGAGGAACGGTGCTGGGAGGGCCTTCAGGAAGGTTTTGGAAGGAGGGAAGCATCAGGGAGCAGGATGTAATTACAGGAGAAGATGGGGCAGTAGAAGCTGGTCACACAGTCATGTTGTCTCATGGTTGCTTTTGCTGAAGAGTTACAGTTTTGCTGCCCATGGAAGCAGCTTGCTCTTGAGTGTGCTTTTAGGTACGTGTCGGTGTGCCTGGCCGGCGCGTGGAGGTGTATTCCAGCGAGGAAAGAATGCGAGACAATCAATATGATTGATAGAGCAAACTCCAGCTGTATTAGAAATTACAGGCACTTATATACCCTTAGCCCGAATTTCACATGTCCAGGGTTGCACTTTTGATTGGTCAGTTGTACTAGAGCCTGCCATGGTCTGAACAGTGACTGGCTCCTTGGCCCAGGCTCAATCAGGACTCTCTACCCCATCTCCTCTTCTGGCACGTTCAGCGTTTACTTCGTTAACTCGCTTTTTATCAACTGGTTCTCATGAGAGAGTCCTTGGTTGTTGAGGCCCAGGTGTCCTATAAGTAAAAACAGGATTGCTCACATATCTGATGTTTATTAAACAACCTGCAACAGGTACGTCCTTTGCTGCTGGCTTCAGGATTTGGCCTTTTCATAATGTATGTGTGTCTGATGGGTAATTAACAGAGGCTGTAAATTACTCTGAAAGCCTTGCCCGTGAGGAGCAGGATGCAGTCCAAGCCAAGAGAGCCCTGAGAGCATTAATGATGGGAGAGGCACAGGTGTGATCCCCTCAACAGCTCCGTCAGTCCCCTTCTGTTCCCTCCTCCTTACAGTTCATGGCCCAGTTCCATGAGAAAATCTACCAGATGCTGAAGAACCTGCTGCAGCTGTCTCCAGAGACAAAGCACAGGATTCTCTCCTGGCTGGGAAACTGCCTCCACGCCAATGCGGGCCGCACCAAGATTTGGGCCAACCAGATGCCAGAGATCTTGTTCCAGATCTATGCCTCGGATGCCTTCTTCCTCAACCTGGGAGCTGCCCTCCTCAAGCTGTGCCAGCCGTTCTGCAAACCAAAGTCTCCGAAGCTGCTGACCTTCGACCCTACGTACTGTGCCCTGAAGGAGCTGAACGAAGAGGAGAGGAGGACCAAGAATGTCCACATGAAAGGTATGCCCACACCTTGGGGAAACAAGGGAAGGGGCAAGGGGATCTCCTTAGGTCCTCACCTCTCCCAGTGGTGCCAGTAAAGATGGAGTTAAATGAGTCGGGAGCAAGGGAACAGCTTGACACATTGATGCTTCTCATTCCAGGTCTGGAGAAGGAAACATGCTTGATTCCTGCTCTGAGCGAGCAAGAGCCAGAGTTTGACAACAGCTACAACCTGGTGACAGAAAATTTGGTCCTCACACAGTACACTCTTCACTTGGGGTTCCACAGGTAACTGCTCCATCTCTGCTGCTCTGTCCTCCAGGCCTTTGCCTCTCCCAGGGTGTTCCTGTGCCCTGAGGCACTCAGAATTCCAGAGGGGATTTTTACTTGTGGGTTTGTACCTGGTATTCATAAGTAATATGAATGTTCAAGCCATAACCACCAGGTAGCTCCCAGTACTGTTTTGAGTGATGTTGGAGCTGATTGATTTTTAGAAAGCGCCCCTGTTCACTGGCGCTCATGGTCTTACGGGCTCCATATTCTACAGAAACATCCCAGGCAAGTGCTGGGTGCTCAGGGGTCATGCCATTCCCCCCACTCCTCAGGGAATGGGCCATCTTGCTTCCCTACTGGAGAGCACCTTGGGGGCAGATGGACAGTTTGTGGAGCAGGAAGGTGAGGTCCCTGTTTACATGAAGGGATTTTCTGGACACCAGAACACACTCAGTTTCTCTGCTTCCCTCTGCAAATTGTTGCTTGGATACTGTGAGGTCACTGCTGATCCAAGCACCGTCCTCTCCTTTACTCTCTATATTTAGAAATCAATGGAGAAGTTATGCAAGTGGCTTTTTGCTGGGAGACAAAATGTCATCTTGTAGGTGTTTCTGGGGCTTGCCTGACCCTGGTCACCTCAGGGTTGTGCCCAAGGGCTTTCTGCTCCATCTGGGGGGCTGTGCTTCCTCAACAGGGTCTGGTGTCCTCCCAAGCCTCTAAGGGCTTCCCATTGCTGGTGCTCCAAAGAGGTTAACCTCAGGAAATGGAGCAAACAGTACAGAAGCATGTGCTAGCCCATGTACTGCGTGGGCACCCTGTGCTGAACACCACCTCTCATCTCCTCCTTGCCTTGTTTTCTGGGCAGGTTGCATGACCAGATGGTGAAGATCAACCAAAGCCTCCACCGCCTGCAAGTGGCGTGGCGGGAAGCTCAGCAGAGCTCTAGCCCTGCTGCTGACAGCCTCCGGGAGCAGTTTGAGCGCCTCATGACCATCTATCTCTCCACCAAGACAGCGCTGACAGAACCGCAGATGCTACAGAACTGCCTGAACCTGCAAGTGTCCATGGCTGTCCTGCTGGTGCAGCTGGCTATGGGGAACCGCGGGACAGAGCTGCTCCAGCTGAGCTTCCCCCTGCCCGAGGTGGAACACAGCGCCTTGGCCTACGTGCCAGGTGAGGCTGTGTGTCCTGCTGGCCGTCAGTCTGTCTGCCCACCGCCAGTACCCACCCAGGGCTAGAGCTGCTCAGGTCACCCCACGTTAGAGCACCGAGACCAGAGGTGTTCGCAGCACCTGGGTTCCTCCACTGCTGGGTTTCACCCCGTAAGGGACCTGACTCCAAGGGGGTGGCGCAAACCCCATGTGTTACTGGTTTCATCAGGCCCAGCACCTCTCCTGACTGTGGTGTTCAAAACCAATGAGTTAGTTCCCAAAACTTGAGTCCAAATTGGGGCAATGAGGGGAGAGCACATGGGGGGCTGGAGAAGGGCAAAGCAAGCTGCCCCAGGAGGAGCTCAGGTGCTGTATCTGTTGGCAGAATTCTTTGCTGATAACCTGGGTGACTTCTTCATTTTCCTGCGCCGTTTTGCCGATGACATCTTGGAGACGTCTGCTGACTCCCTGGAGCACGTTCTTCACTTTGTTACTGTTTTCATGGGCGACGTGGAGAGGTATGTACAGCCCTGAGGTGAGCTGGGTACTTACCTGCAGAGCACCCAGAGGAGAACAGCCAGGTGGGAATTGTCTGAGGGGATTGGCTTCTGCCCTGCTGTGCAGCTTTACCAATGATCTGGAACAGTTGGGAGCAGCTCCCAGAGGGCTTCCTGAACTGTTCAGTCCCACACCCCATCCCTCATTCTATCCTTGCTTCATTGTTTTCCTCTTGCAGGATGAAAAATCCTCACCTGCGAGCTAAGCTGGCAGAGGTGCTGGAGGCTGTGATGCCTCACTTAGACCAGGCCCAGAACCCACTGGTCTCGAGCGTGTTTCACCGCAAGCGTGTGTTCTGCTCGTACCAAAGTGCTGCTCAGCTGGCCGAGGCGCTGATCAAGGTTTTTGTGGACATTGAGTTCACGGGTAAGTGCGGAGGGGAAGAGTCGTGTTCCTTCTGCAGCATCTCTGGGGGGAAGCTGGACGGTGCTTTGCTCACCCCTCCTCTGCTGTGGGGCCTCTTGTGCTGCCTGGGCATTTGTGACACATTGCTGACCTGGAGGGAGCAGGGGGTTTATTTCAGACTGTGGGAAGGAAGGAGCAGACCCTGTGCCTGCTCTGCACTGCTCTCTCTTACCCTCCTGCCCAGGTGACCCGCACCAGTTTGAGCAGAAGTTCAACTACCGCCGCCCCATGTACCCCATCCTGAAGTACATGTGGGCCACCGATTCCTACCGGCAGAGCATAAAGGTGAGGCCAGAGGTGTGTGCAGCTCAGCGTGGGCTGTGGGGGTTGTCCTGCCATGGAGGTTGTGCCGCAGCCTTCACCATCCCCTTCTTCCCCTCAGGCTCTGGCTGATTATGCCTCGGAGAACCTAGAGGCCATGAACCCTCCTCTCTTCTTGCGCTTCCTCAATTTGCTGATGAACGATGCCATTTTTCTGCTAGATGAAGCCATACAGGTTGGGCTGAGTGTGGGGCTGGGCTGGGTGCAGGATCTGCACAATGGATTCCTGCAGGGAATGACTGCAGGCTGGGCCAGGCCATGCCTGGGATGCGGGCAGAGGGGCAGTGGGGTCTGGGGACATCAGGCTGCTGCTCCTCTGGACAGGTAGCAGCCCCTCTGTGTTTTGGTTATCAAACTCCTCAGCCTTTCCACAGGTGCTTTGTCCTTGGAAAGGCTGTATGCTTCCAGGCAGTTCTCCATTGGATGAACTCCTGTCCTTGGGGGGTGGTGACCATCTCTCTGTACCCTTCAGAGCTGCCTGTGGCGCCAGAAAGGGCTTTTCTGCGGGAGCTTTTGCCTGCTGTAGAATTGATTTTTGGGAGCCTGGCAGGTAAGATGGGTGATGTGGATATCACCCATCTGACTGTGAGCATTTATGGCTGAATATTCTGTGTTTCATATAACAGCTGTGGTGTGAGGGGCCTTTCCCAACACTGCTGTTCCTCTGGCATCCCACCTTGGCCTCTGGCAGCATGGAGCCATGCAGAACAGGTCTGGCTCAGCCATCGTAGGCTGTTTCCCTGCCTGTTCTCCCAGCCACTTCCCTGCCATGTCTTTGCAGTACCTCAGCAAGATTAAAATTCAGCAGATCGAGAAGGACCGTGGTGAGTGGGACAGCCTGTCCCAGGAGGCTCGCCGTGAGAAGGAGTCTAGCCTGCAGATGTTTGGCCAGCTGGCGCGCTTCCACAACATCATGTCCAACGAAACCATTGGCACTCTGGCCTTCCTGACCTCAGGTAGGGAGAGTAATGCACCCAGGACCTGGGAAGGCCCCTAATGGGAATTGGGTGGGCAGGAACTTGGGTTCAGGGCAGTCAGAGCAGGACAGGATTGCTGCAGAGTTCAGGGAACTGTTTACTTGTGTTCCAGAAATTAAGTCCCTGTTTGTACATCCTTTCCTTGCTGAGCGCATCATCTCCATGCTCAACTACTTCCTGCAACACCTGGTTGGGCCTAAAATGGGAGCTCTGAAAGTCAAGGATTTCAGTGAGTTTGACTTCAAGCCGCAGCAGCTTGTGTCTGACATCTGCACCATCTACCTAAACCTCGGGTAGGTGACACAGGAGTGTTGGTCTGTGAGGTGGCAGGAGTCATCCTGGGGACACTGTAGCTACACAGTCCCTTGATTACAGTCCAACTTCGAGTTCTGTGCTGTGGTCACGCAGCTGTTGTGGGGGATACTGTTTTGCAGCCTGATAAACATGGATTCTTAAAACCTTTTGCTCTCTTTTAACCTGTGTCCAGGGATGAAGAAAACTTCTGTGCCACAGTGCCCAAGGACGGCCGCTCCTACTCCCCCACACTCTTTGCCCAGACCGTCCGGGTTCTGAAGAAAATCAAGAAGCCTGGCAACATGATAGTGTCTTTCAGTAACCTGGCTGAGAGGATCAAGGTAAGAAAAGGAGGGAATTTAAGCTCACCAAAAAAAAAAAAAAAAAAAGGTGGACCCTGATTCCTGGCATCCTCTTCCATCTGTGTATTGCTGAGAAGCTGGATTCCTGGGAGCGGGGCAGAAGTGGGAGCCTAAGTCCCTAAAGTTGGCATGTGGCCTCCAGTCTCTTGCAGACCGCCAGCAGCAGGAGGAAGAGACGTATGCAGACGCCTGTGATGAATTCCTGGATCCAATCATGAGCACCCTGATGTCAGACCCCGTGATCCTGCCCTCCTCCCGTGTCACCGTGGACCGCTCCACCATCGCCCGGCACCTCCTCAGGTATGCGGGATGGGCCTCGGGATTCCTGGGGATCTGCTCCTCTTGTCCAGTAATACCTGGTCTTGGTGTGTCTGCTTTGCTCAACAGCAGGAAAACCATGCTGCTCTTCTTGGCCTGTCTTCCTCTTTTTTAATTCTTAGCCCTGGAACTGTCCAAATAATCCAATAGTATCTCCTTGATGCTTTGTCTTTCAGCGACCAGACTGATCCTTTCAACCGGAGCCCCCTCACTATGGACCAGATCAGACCAAACACAGAGCTCAAAGAGAAGATCCAGCAGTGGCTTGCAGAGAGGAAAAAGCAGAAGGAGGAGCTGCAGGAGACACTGAACTGAACACCAAGATCTCATCCATAGACCTCTACAATCACCGGCAAGAGAAATGCCTTGCAGGGGCAGCAGCTGGGGCTCCAGAGCATCTTAATTGAGACTGTGTTTAGTGCATTGCCACTGCCTCTAGAGCCTCTCCTAGGACCTTCCCTTCCATCCCTTCTATATTTTCCTTTCAAGACTTACTCTTTAATACTAAGACTTTCCACTGCACTACAGCTTTGAGCCTCTGCCTCGGGGGAAGACCACAGCCTCCACTGAGCGACCTGGCGCCCCGGCCTGCTGTTTCTTTGTGTTCTTTTCCAGCGACACCAAAAACCTTCCTCTGTTCTGTTGCTGCGTTTAAACCCTGTAACTGTATGTGAAGGCAGTGCCTCTGCAGCTGCTCCCTCGGTTAGATGTGGGCACGGACTGGAGTGGGACGGTTATTCCAACGTGTACACACCCGTTGCTTAGCAGGGTTTATTTTCCAGATGATCATTGGGGAACAGAGGGAGTGTTAGAAATTAAATATAGCGATGATCTTGCAGCTGGCAGTGGAGGTCTGGGCGCGGGGAGGCTCTCGGTGTAGAACAGCCTCTTTGCTTTGGCACGGAGGCTGCAGGGGAGGGAGCTGCGTCCGCCCCTCGTGGTCCGGGAGCGGCTCCGTGCGGGTCTCGAACCGGTGTACGCGGAGCCATGGGGTCCTTGCTGGGAGCTGCCCTGGGCAGATGCCTGTCGGCAGGCGG